AAACAAGCACCTGATATACCCCAAAGACCTGCCATATTACTTTTAAATCTGCTCGTCAACGTCAGCATTTTTTTATACTGCGCATGCGGTCCACCTTTCAACCTGGCTGAGCTGCAGGAATCTCTTACAATATTATCATTCTCATGATTGTTTTTCGAGCAGGGATTGCTTAAAAAGCCGATAATTCACAACAACAAAAAGCAGGATTTAGCTAGGAGTCCGCGGGGCTGTTTATAGCATTGTTAGCGTTTCTAACTTAATATCAGCATGATAATAATGTAAAAGAGATTTCTGCAGCCCATCCAGGTTGAAGGGTGGACAGCATGCACAATATCAAAAACGCTGATATTAAGGAGAAACTTTAAAAGCGATATGACAGGTCATTGGGGTATATCAGGCGCTTGTTCAGGGTGATTCCGTAGTTCGGTCGGTTGAAATTACCGATCACTAAAGGGCTGAAGGAACATCGTTCCCATGATTCTTTTAGCGCGGGCCGGGGCACTTCGAGGATATCGCAAATGGTCTATTTCGCGAGCTAAGTACAACTTCCTACGGGATTCGCTGTTGCGGTTTGTAAAGTTCCTTTTAGGCATTCGTTGCAGGTCGTACTTCCGCGACGACGTTTGCAAAGAACAAACTACGTGCCGCCGCTTAGTCCCGAGCAGAGAAGCGCGAAATTATGTTGACCGTCACAACGCGACTGCATTCTTGATTTTACAGATGAGTGGGCCACGTAGACGGTAATAAACATCAACTTCGAATGTCGCAAAATGCTAAACCGCTGATAGAGCCACGCGTGCAATGGGCCTATTTCGACGTTGCCCTATTGAATTTTTTGTTTCGACAAAAGACACGCCCGTCGACGCGGGATCCTCAATTGAACTTTTACGCGTATAAACATCGGTGCCCAGCAGGCCGAGGCTGTCTACGATCATTTCCGCGATGCTCTTAATTTGCGCGTCCTCGTTTCCTTGCTGTGGTGGAACGATAAAATGCTTTCTCAATGTACTGCACCTACAACCACGAAAAACATCGAGGGAACCGCAAATCCCTTCGCTGTTAACTGATGCAGCAGTCTTGAGTGCTCACCTCCAATTTCGACCGCTGGCCCGTTCGCTGCCGCTGTTGCACGTATCGCCGCACTGGCGGAACTCGTATTATCGAGCACGAAACAGGCACATAGTGCCGCAAATATTACTAGCGTTTTACCGCACCTAATACATCAGCTGCGCCCAAAAAAGTACTTTCAGCCATTTAAGCGCGGCTGTTGAGCCTAACGCCCGAGCGATAAAATGGTATATAATCACAATGCTCTTCTAGGTGATTTCTTTTTATCGGTAGAAACAATCGTTTAAGTTAATGAACCGCGTTAACGGAAGTGCTTTCCATGCTAGCTGCTATTCGTTCACATATAAAAGTCGACCCACGTTCGGCCTTCACTATCAATCCTGCAACGGTCCTCCAGAGTTAACAATGTCAAACACCGACGAGTCTTCATTTTTTTTTCTCATAATTATGTATATAATGTTTGATACCAATTCTGCCTTACAGTTTTCTTTTTATTTTTTTTTTTTTTTTTTTTTTTTTTTACAAATGTGCGTGTTAGTTTTGTTCTTGGTTTTACTTGATTGTATGATTTATTGCAACCTCCCCTCCTCGTGTAACGCCCTACAAAGCGGACCCTTATGGATTAATCGAGCAAAATTAAACAAAAACAAAATATTCTGCCAGATCAATTGAACTTCTAGGTGCGCATTACCAATCTACCTTTCAAAAAAAAAAAAAAAAAGAAAGTCCATCACACAAAAAGAAAAAAAAAAATGACGCCGTTTCTCCGAGAGTCGAGTCGGCGGCACCTAAAGAGAAATAATCGGGCTCTTGGACGAGGCGTCAAAGCCAATGCCCTCGAGCTCGAAGAAGAAAATGAACACGGGGAAAGGGGGTGCTCCAGCCACGCGTCCAGCAAAGCGAGCCATCAGCCCGCGCCATTAGACCGGTCGTTGGGCCCATCCCCGCAATTAGAACGCCGCGCCGGTTAGACCCAATTAGGGCAACCCCCCCTCCGGCAGGTGGAACCGCCAGTCCGGGCATCCGACACCGCATCCCACTTCCCCGAGGAAGCGGACAATGATTCGCTTCCCCGATAAGCACCGAATCGGGAGACGGGGTCAGCGAAAAAAGACAGCCATCAGATCGGACACGCCCGGAAAGAGGAGCTTGCGAGAGGCCCCTTCTCTCGCCCTCGGCGCGCGCCACGCCTCGCCGCCTCGATCCACGGTCAAGCACCGGAACAAAGGCGAGATGTACTAATTGCAGCCAGAAACAACGGGAAAGCGGCAGAGGCGTGGCGGCGGCCGCCAAGGAATCCGAGAGAAACAATGCCGGAAAGGCAGTTGCGAGGACGAGCGTCCCGAGTCTGCGAAACCCTCCGGCAGATGGGGTGGATTCCGCTAGACAAGGGCCTCGCCCAATCGATGTCTTGCTTCCTCCCTGCGTGTCGGTTGTCTCCCTCGCCCGGAAAACGAGAGCGAGTCGATTGAGGCGCCTTCTTCGCGCGTCCCGGAGGTCTTCAATTTGAGCGCGGAGCCGGACTGCGGCTGCCCGTCGGCTCCCTTTTCCTCCCGGCCGATTCCCGTTCCCCGGACAACAACTGGCCGCCCGTGTAATGAGATGGCTCGACCGCTCGCCGCTACCGTTCCCCACCGAGGCGGCCCGAGAACGGTGGCCAAGGGGCGCCGCCAAATGCTCGGAGAAGGCGCCAGTATTGCTAATCATTGCCTAAGCGGCTGGTCACTAGAAATTAACGAAAACATAGATCTGCAGCCGCATGTTGATTTATCCGCGAAACAGACATAAGCAGAATTGAAGCTTGTGAGAAACGCAGCCGACGCTGCGTTTTTCACAGGTCGACGACGCGACTTTTAGAACAGAGGCGGCGTCTGTTCGAAGCGTCGCCTCGTCGACCTGTCCTCTTTCTTGCGACGACACGGAGGATGCACACACTGAAGCGACGGAGCGTCGAAGGTGGTTGGCAGGTGGCCAGCTCTGCCATTACGGGGATCACGCAAGGACGAAGATGGAGAAGACTCAGTAGGCCAGAGCATTTGGCGAATCGCGATAGCCTTCTTTTTTGCGCAGTTGCGACAAAGAGCTACGAAAGTTGAAGCGCTATTCCACAGGATCTTTAATTGTCTAGGATTCGCTTGAACTTTTGCTAAACTCAACAACAAACATCGCTAAAAAGTATCCCAAATATTAAATTTAAAAAAAAATTGCTTTTTTTCGCGAAGTTATTGAATTTACAGTTTTGGTCCTCGCCGTGTTTTTCAAACTGAAAGTCTCTCCGGACAACAACGAAAAAGTGATGTCAGTAGAAGACAGTGGTTCACTCTGACTGTACAATCTGTTTTCAACTGATACAACGCAGTTTCAAGGTGTCAAATGAATGCTTCGGAAGCTCGCTCCGGTACCCGCGCTCCAGCACGGACGGAACAAATGATTGTCATATCCTATGCTTAGACTGCTTGCTCAACTGGCAACGCGAGCCAGCTAGTGACGTCACGGCACTGAAAAGTGCGGGTATATTTGAATGCTGGTTTTTGCATCATTTGCATTTGCCGATTTCGCAATAACTATTATGAATTTCGCGATACTAAATAGCATACCGGAAAGGGTAAAGGCCGGAGAGTCAGAGCATACAGTTAGTTGAGGTAGGTAAAAAAAAACTGTGGAGTACCCCTCTAAAGCACTCCGATTTGCGATATCCTCAAACATGTCGAAGGCAAAAGCGTCGGAACAGCCGCCCCATACGGACAGCAAGTTTGTGTGCTTCTGTCCAAGGGTTGCCAGAATGCCAAACTCTTATTGGCTGATTGAAAAAAAAAAAGATAGTGTATGATAGAGCTCGAGGCATCCAGCATTGAGGTCTATCCACTATCGTTCCGATCAAAACCAATCAGAGTTGGGCGCCGCAACTCCTGCGCAAGACGAAGACGAGTTGGTCTCCGCATAAAGGATTTGTATTTTTGAAAATAAGGTTGTGTTCTGTTCATTTGCACCTCGTTACGCTGCACACGTGTTTTATGAGCCAAAGATAATCGCCACCTCCTACCGCCGGTCCAAGCATTCCGAGAGAGAAAGTCTGCCGCGGGAGTGCCGTTTGCCGAAATTGAAGCGGACCAATAAAAGTTGCCCTCGGGGACAGCTTTTATTGGCAGTAAAGCACGTTCCACTCCGGTGTCCCACGGGATTCGGCGCGCACAAGTAAGACATAGTGCAGCAAAAGACTACACACGCGCGTTCTAAGTCAAAAAGAGTAAAACGTAGATTTTGTTGCATGCTTTGCAACAAAATGCAAAAAGACGGGAAGTATGCTCCCATCAATACGTGCAGTCACAGACGGTTAATTAATGTAACCGTGTCGAGCTTACATCTCGTGTTTGGTTTCAGGATCAAGGCAGCCATAGCCACAAGTTAGTGGTTGCTTTTACATTCATAACACTAAACGAATAAATGCTTCCCTAAGGCAGTAGCAACAATATGTTTCTTTTAAGTTGTTCGTGCAAAACACAGATCATATAAAACAATTTTCTATCTGTTTCTCTCTCTCCCTCTCTCTTGGCAAGATGGCACAAATGGAGCAAGTTATGGGTGGTAACCAGATATACTAAAATTACATTTTCACGAAAGTAACGATAGAAGTTCTAAATTACAACAAATAGAAGTACCATATTGCGAGTCATTTCGCTACTAAGTTGTAACGCGTTATTTCCACGCCTGCCCTTCGGCGAACTGGGCCTCGTTAGAGTCAGAGCCCCTGGGCGCCTACCCAACCATTCAATAAGCGTATTGCACATCGACGTGTCAAGCCAGTATATGGCTCTCTTTACCGGCCAATAAAAGTTGTACGCCAATGCGAGCGTGGCGGAGAAAGGAGGAGGCATGAGCGGGCCTTCAAAGGCCCCCTCGCTGCGGAGCAGAAGAGGGTGCGTCTCCCTCACCTTGTTGACATTGGTCCTGGCCGGTTTGGTCTTGGTCCTGGGCGGCGTTGGCGATGACGACGGCTGCTTGTCGTTGCAGTTGAGCTTGTTGGCGCTCAGCAGGAGCTCGGGCGACGATGGACGCGTCTCGGGCTCCCGACTCTTCACCGTACTCTGCGACAAAGAACACGGAGAAAGCGTCAAACAACGCTCCATGTAAACACGCCCACTAAAAAAAAAAAAAAAAAAAGTTGCAAACATTACACATTTATTACGAGCGACTAAGTAGCACACGGGGATTCGAGTGCCCGACAAGCGAAGAACCTCAGGCATATCCCAGCACGCGGTTTAATTTAATCCGTCCAGATGCTCCAAGTTGGACCTCCAGATGCCTCTTTAAAGGCCCGTTCACGAAGTTGCGTTCAAGTGCAACGGAAACCACTTGAGTCTGGTTAAGACTGCTCGCGTCGATCTGTTGCTATGGCGACCGTTACGGAGAGCCAATTGGGGAGGCGCCGTGCTGCAAGATGCAACGCAGCACAACGCGGTCGACGCGAATGTGTGAACCAGCCTTGACGTGCGACCAAAATCTCGGTTTACACGGCGTAAGCTTCCGGCTAATCCCTCAAGCACGGGCATGCGTGAGACGACTGCGCTGCAGCCAACAAAGCATACGGAAACTCGCCTAAACAACTCGGGGGTAACGAAAGTTTCTACAAATATAGAAAAGAATCACAGGATGAATGCAACGATTCGATATTGATTCCTCGCTTCTGAGATCTCTCTATCGATAACAGCATTTTTTCCCCTGTGTGATGCGATTTTTTCTTTTTTTTTAATTGGGAAAAAAAAAGGAGCTAATTGTGATGAGATAACGCCCAAAATATTTGTAAAAAATGAAATGCAGCGCCAGGTATTTTTTATGCGAAAAAATTAAAACCCCTTCACCAGAGGTTGAAAGAATGAAAACGGAGATAAAATGTAGGTTTGACAAACAAATATTTTCCCATTACAAAATATCACTTTAAGAGATACAACCGCCCCATTACCTAGACGTCCAATCATCCCTAAAAAAATTGCATGCTTATAAAAACATGTTTCTTCTAATAGTTTTTTTTTTTTTTTTTTTTTTTTATAGATAATTTACAAATCATAAGTGGCAAGAGTTCACTCGCGCTCTATCGATACATTTAGTCTCCAACGCGGCTGCCACCCGTTCGAGCACACCAGTCGAACAGTCCCAAACATCGGTCCTACTCCCGACCACAAATTCGCGAAAAAAGAAACCCATCCCAGCTGAAAGCTGGAAAAGCCAACGGGCACTGCAAACGCGGTCCAAATTGGGCGTCACGGCGATATAAAGATATGTCGCGCAGAGAGAGCCGAAACCGATGGCCAACCCACCGGCCAAGCAAAACAAAACACGAAAAGCCAGCATTCCCGTTGATGGGAGCTCCGTCGCGGTATTTGTCCTCATTAGGGTTCACGATCTCGTGTACCCACTTATCTGCCGCCGATAAACAGTGGATACAGTCCTCCCCGGGGGTAGAGCGCAAGACGTGGAGAACGGCTTAATTACGGTAGTCACACGTTGCCAACGTATACACGCGATGTAATCGTGCAGCCCGCGCCGGCCGAACGGACGTCCAGTGCGGCCAACGGGAAGGAGAAAAATAAAAAATGCGAACGCCGACGGCGAGAGGCCCGAAGGGGGGACGCTCCTTTGTTGCTCGCCTTCCCGTACTCCACCGTTTCCCTCTACGATGGACCACGGGGAACGCTAGGAGCCATTGAAGCCAATCCCTCGCCACGAGGGTGTCACGTGACTTTTGAGAACCGGAAGGAGAGACATAGATGGCTTCCCTAAAGCCGCGCTCATACGAGACAGTGTGCGGGCAGAGTCCGAGTCTCGCGTGACGGTCCCATTGGCCGCACGACAACTGCCCGCAGACAAGTTCGAAGCACGCTTGAAGCAAACATGATCGGAGCCTGCTCGAGTAGTGTCCACAGGAAGAAACTCTCTCATAGTGTCTTTTGTTTGACGTGTGCGCAGTGTGGCTGCGGCTTCAATGTGCGTACGGCACCACCAACCCGATCCTCCTGACTTCTACGCAGTCGCGCGATGCGTTCGCATCGTTGGAACTTGGGTTGGCCGGGGCGGCTCGCACCTACAGCGTCCGCCGCGGTCCATCCCAAGTCGCCGCGGAGTCGGGGATCGATGCGGACGTGCGCGGGACGTTCTAGCCCTCCTCGAAGAGGAAGGGTCCCTGGGGACTCGTTACGCGCACTTTCATTAATCAGCGGCAGCCGTGGCACGCCGACCGAAGCGGCTCCTGCCGCCCGTGTCCGGGCGCACCTAGTTAACGCGTATTGTTCCACCCCACCCAACCCCCCTTCCCCGAGTCCCACCGAGGTGCCGGGGCACAAGCGAGCCACGGGGAGGTGTCGCGACCTGTCGCGCCGACCGGGAAGTGACATCGAAAGGCGCATCTAAAGACTGCTTCGAGCGGCTGCGCTCGTGAAACCAAGTGATACTCACGGAATAGACCCGAGCGAAATACAGACCATAGGGAGTCTTCGTAGACCGCGTTTCCCCCTCCGCTAAGCTCTCCGCAACCCGCTACGATACCCGGAGCTCTACAGTCAAAGCCATGGGCGCGCAGGCGCAGTAGCGGCTTCTTCGTTGCGGAGGGCTTACCGGAGGAGGAAACGAGGTCTACGAAAACTCCCTAATACTGCTCCCCATTTCCCTAAAGCGATGTCAGTGCGATGGCGCTTCGTCTCACGCGAATCTGGATCTTACAGACGCGCAGTGCGCACACCTCCGAACGCGCGTTAGCCTGCTAGTGTAGTCCGTGGGGAGAAGGCGGTACAAGCTCCGCCCACCAAAGCCCTTTACCTTGTGTACTTTAAACTCTGGACAGGGCAAATGAGAGGAGCTGGAGTAGAGGAGAGGAAAGGGAGAAACGTGTTCCGCTTTTCTCAAGCTCTGACGGAGCATAACGGTGCGAGCAAGGGGGTAAACAGTCTACCTCGGGGGTTGTGTAGCACACGCTTCTCTGCTCGTCTGTTTCATTCATTCATTTTCTCTCTCTCTGTCTCTCTCACAAACACAAACACACATGCAAAAAATCACGCGGTTGTTTTTCACGAACATATTTCCTCAGCAGGGGATTGCCATGCTTCGCCATTTATTTTAGTAACTCGTTAGAAGGAGAAGCAGTTTTCTTTAAAGAGCAGCTCCACATCAAGGAGAACGGCAACATTCTTTTAAAGTTGAGAGATCAAACCAGAAACTAGATCCGAGACAAAACATAGGAGGCGTGCAAAACAAGCAAAATTTTGGGGGTGTTTTCGACGCTGGGAAAAACGCTGCGGTCCAACAAGAAAGGGAAACCCAAAGAAGCACCGAACGTCTTTTCTTTTCGTCGCAAAACATTCAGAGAACACGTGGGTAACCGGTGATGTAATTTATGGCCATTCGCATTTCCTCTGGCCCGCACTTAACGTGCGGGACGTGAACTGGGGGGACGATTTGCAAGCGGCCCTCGCGGCGAGAGAGCGCGCGATAGCGGGCTTCAAAATGGCCGCCCCTATCACCTAACGGATCGCCACTGTCGAGCAATCATTACCCCTGTCACGTTCTCCCCTCGGTTAATGTGAGATGGATGCAGATACCCGTCTTTCTCCCCTCCTCCCGGGCAAGTTCCGCTCTCAAAGGGCGGTTCACCCATCTGCGACCATCGGAAATGCTTAACAACGCTTTTTGAGCCCCTCGCGACCGCTACGCAAACGGTCGTAAGCAGACGAATGTCTGTGAATTAGCCTTTATTCGCTCGTTCATAATATTCGATAACATTTAAGAAAAAGAAGAAAGAAAAAAACAGGAGCATATTTTAACGAGGTTTCCGACGGGCAAGTGACGGCATGCACTGGCCAATGTCGCCTGCAGAGCTGTTACCGTACACTGACATTCGCAGCCCCGTGGCTCATCAAAAATAAAGGTGGATAAACGGACATTGCTCACTGTGTACGGACTTCATATTTGTAGGAGGCCTATTGTACATCCTATCTATTTCTTGAGCTTGGCGCAACTGGTCCCAGACTATACCATTGCGGAGCAGTCGTCAAACACCACTTCCGCAGGGCCAGAGGCTCCATATTGGGCGGGGCACTCTTCCGTCTCAATTTCGACTGACTAAAATTTTTCGCAGCACTCCAAGTCTAAATAGTTTTCGAGTGCTATGATTTCGGTCAAACACAAAATCAAGCAAACCAAAAAAAAAAAAAAAGAAAACAATCAAAACTTCAACAAGCTACCATCACAGAACGCGCGCATTCTGAGATTTTTACCCGTCACTGCCCGGATAAAAACTGAGCTCCCGAGAAGAAAAGACGGAACAAGTCAAGCCAATATTGAGCGACCGTGCGTATATGCAAGACTCGGATTGGTTGTGGCTCAAAAGTTCGTACGCAGATAAAAATCACTAACGTACATTATGCTAAAAATGCAAACATGTTTTTTTTTGTTTTTTTTTAATAACCGGTCGTCAATATTAGCGCAAACTGATTCCTACCTGCGACGCTGATACAATAATCACTCCCAACGCCATTATAATTACTTGTATCGCGTGCCGACATCTGGCTACGGTGTGTCACGTCAGACACGCGATGCCGGAAGGCAACCCAGCGTCAATTGCCCCGCCCCCTTTTGTATTACTCGTCCCAGCGAGGGGGACACACACACGCGGGAGCAAGTATTACAACCACTGAACGCTAAACGAGCCGCGGAAGAAAAAAAATGATAGGCCGCTAATCGGTCGACTTTTAATTAGCGATCAAGGAGCGGCAGTCGAGAGACACGGAGGGAGAGACATTCCGTTCCCAGCTCCGAAACAACCGGGCAACACAAAGTGCTCTCTTCAGACAGTCTGTTCCTCCTTTACACTCGAGGCGGGCTGCGAAGAACGAAAAAAGCGTACAAAACAAAACGTGCCAGGAAAGTAAGCCGAGAAAAATCTTCCGCAGCCGACAGGCAGTGCGCCAAGATGCGCTCAATGTAGCGTGAAGAAAAAGAAGAAAGTGGGAAGAAAACGGTGAAAGAAATAAAAAGAAAGTGGTAGGCGTGGCGCGTCTTCTTTAGCCTCCACGGGTGCGATGAAAGGGGAAG